TTAGCTAAATTTACTGGAATACCTTAACTGGTAGTTTAGCGTCCAACAACTTTTATGAATGTGGTTGAGAACTGCTCTTTTCGAAGCAGTCTGTGACTGTGCCACCCAGAGGCAGTGACCACATGAGCCTTGTTCTGTTAAACAAACGAACACTGTGAGTTCAAGTCGGAATAGATGACTGTCGATGAATAAACAGGAGAATGAACGGACACTCGAATTGTAGAAATGAACGGTACCAGCGCAGGACCTGCTAGAGATCACGGTAAGGCTTGGCACAATGCAATCACAAATCTATTGCCAGGGAGAATGAGGGTGGCGAAAGTGTAGAGAAGGTTAACAAATGGATGAATCTGAGATCAAAACATATCCTGTGAGAAGAGAAAAAAGGAGAAGGGTCGCTCACATTAAGAGAGAAGTAAACACAGGATGAAGAAAGTTAAGCGAGACTGCCAGAAAAATTACAATGTCTGGCGAATCCAAGATCAAACCCAAATGATTTATTTGTCATGGATCAGGAAAACAAACTCACATAAGACCAAGAAATGTACTTCTAAGAGACGTTTTCCTCCAATCTTCGCACGAGGAAATGTAAATGGTGGTCCAACAATTAATTATGTGTGGCCTGAAGAAAACAAATTATTGGGGGCCTAAAGAAAATAAATTATACAGGGCCTGAAGAAAATAAATTATTAGGGAACCTGAAGAAAATAAATTATAGGGGACCTGAAAAAAATAAATTAAGCAACGTAAGAGTCACAAGGGACAATGTTATCAAGAAAGTAGACAGATCACAGCAAAACAAGTCACTGGGCCTCGACTAACTGGGCTGCGTAAGATACACTTCCAGAGAGGTGTCGTGCCTGAGATGTGATGACCAGTGCAACTGTTATCATTACGTCACTACTATCATACTACCGCCCAGTAAGCAAGGCCTCAATAATAAATTATAATAATCATTAATAAACGATGTAAGAAGCCATATTGATGAGCGTAGTTTGATTAATGAAACTCAACGCAGATTGACAAGATGTCGTTTTTGTCTGACAAATTTACTGACTTCGGTAAAGTATTCGAGACATCAATGATAAAAAAAAATTATCTGGGTTACAGCAAGGCTCTTGATAAAGTCCCACACGGAAGACTGTTTAAGAAAGTGGCAGCTCACGGTATTAATGGAAAAATTCTCTTTTGGATCGAGGAATGGTTGACTACCAGGTAGAAGAGAGTTTGCATCAATGGAGCGAAATCAGACCAGACAAGAGTGGCGTTCCACAAGAGTTAGTTTTACGTCTCATTATTGTTCGTAATTTTCGTAAATAACCTTGACAATACAATACAATACAATACAATACAATACAATACTTTATTTAGACATGATGCACAGTTACACAAGGAATTATAGTTGGGTGTACATGCCAAAGCGACATGCGACGAGGAAATAAGAAACATCATGAGTAAATCTGAGGAATGAGACATTTGGGAATCGTTGTTGAAGAAACGTTTCGACAGACAGTGTCTTCTTCAGTGCAGAGAAAGGTGGAAGATGAGCAGAAGTCTGAGGTAATTAGTCCCTCGGTCTGGAGTCAACGTGTTCAGTCCATCAATAACAAGACTGATGGACAGGACACATTGACTCCAGGTTGAGGGACTAATTACCTCATACTCCTCCTCATCTGTTGCATAAGTGTCTCATTCTTCATCTTGTCAGTTGTCTAAACCATTACATCATATGAGTAAATTTACTGACCACACAAAATTAGACCAAATACTAAATTCTGAGGAGGACACCACTGAGGAGGACACCACTGAGGAGGACACCACTGAGGAGGACACCACTGAGGAGGACACCACTGAGGAGGACACCACTGAGGAGGACACCACTGAGGAGGAACACTGAGGAGGCACACACTGAGAGGGACCACTGAGGAGGACACCACTGAGGAGGACACCACTGAGGAGGACACCACTGAGGAGGACACCACTGAGGATTTGGAGACGCTGATGTCATGGTCGGAAAAGCGTCAGGTCCAGTTAAGTGTACAAAAGCGCAAAGCTCTATCTCTTGGGCCTGAAAATAATCCTCACACTCATAATCCTCACATAAACCAGGTGCTGTAGAATTTGATCACACAGAATATAAACAAGACTTGAGTCATGGTAAGTGGAAATGTGAAGATGAGACCAGTGTTTATGTTTGAAGGTGTTCCGTCAGACTCACCACTGAGTCCGGGGATCGACCCCGGTAGGGTGGAAACATAGGGCGCATTCCTTAAGGACACCTGCTGTCGATGTCACCTCGCAGTTAGTAGACCTGGGTGTTAGGTCGACTAGTGTGAGGACTCATCTAGGGACAAAAGCGCAAACTCTAATTTGCCTCGAAAATGATCTCATAAACGCTTCTATATATTCACATGATGTCACAGGCTGCCTGTATTAATTTGAATAAAGATATTATTAATTAAATATTATATTCATGTAATTATAATTATATAATTATATTATTTATTGTTATAAGGGTATCATCACTTATAAACATGAGTTGAATCATGCAGAAATCGATGAGAAACATTAATCCATTTCATTAATGAACCTTCATTGGGCAGGTTAAATTGAGAAGTGTTAAGTACTATTGTCTATTGGAGGTAAAATGAGCACAACGTAGCGTAAGGTGGTAGACAGGGTGACAGTGTCAGATAGGTGGTAGTCATGGTGTACAGGTGGTAGTGAGGTACTGAATGTCAGGACAAAAAGAAATACTGACCCAAGTTGGATTATTATTATAAGATTTATAAAGAATATAGGATAATATACACACACAGGTATTCAAGTGCTATAATGAAGATGTTTCGCCACATGGCATTTGAGTCTGATGTAGAAATCGGGGAAATTTGTATCTTTTATACACCTGGTTATTGTTCTAGCAGTAATAGACCTGAGTGTTAGTCCGTTAACACTGTTTTACTGTTCACTACATAGTAGGTACGAATGCTGGTCACCGACACGTGCGTATACTGTTCACTAGCAGTAGTAGGTACCAGGTGTCACCGTACTGCTGTTACGGTCACTAGCAGTAATGGTCCTAGGTAAGTAACCGTAAACTCTGTTACTGTTACCTATAGTAGTAGGTACTGGTGTTGTCACGTACAACTGCAGTATACTGGTTACACCTATCATATAGGTACTGGTGTAGTCACAGTACACTGCTATACTGTTACTCAGTAAGTAGACTGAGTGTTGCCACCGATACCTTCTGTTACTGTTCACTATCAGTAAGTAGGTACTTGCGTTGTTGTCACGTTACACCTGCGGTTATGTTCACCTAGCAGTAAGCAGGTACCTGGGTGTTAGTCACCGTACACCTGCTGTTACTGTTCACCTAGCAGTAAGTAGGTACCTGAGTGTTAGTCACCGTACACCTGCTGTTATGTTCACCTAGCAGTAAGTAGGTACCTGGGTGTTAGTCACCGTTCACCTGCTGTTGCTGTTCACCTAGCAGTAAGTAGGTACCTGGGTGTTATTCACCTTACATCTGCTGTTATTGTTCACCTAGTAGTAAGTAGGTATTTGGGTGTTAGTCACCGTACACCTGCTGTTACTGTTCAGCTAGCAGTAAGTAGGTACCCGGGTGTTAGTCACCTTACACCTGGTGTTACTGTTCACCTAGCAGTAAGTAGGTACCTAGGTGTTTGTCACCTTACACCTGTTGTTATTGTTCACCTAGCAGTAAGTAGGTACCTGGATGTTAGTTGACTCCTGTGAATCCCACATGTATCTTAGTCATACGACTATCTGTTTTGAAAAACATTAATACATAGGCCAGTAGGCCTGCTAATCGGCCGCATCTCCTGTGCTGCCATCTGCAACTACCGCACCTCGCTTCTGGTCCAGAATATATATAACTCTCAACGTGCCTCACTTCAGTGATCAACACTACTGTGTAGCATTTATGTACCACTGTATCAAGGTAGAGGGACTGACCACCTAAAAATTACCTTGTCATTTCTTTGTCTATCATAGTTGAGGGACTGATCACCTCAATCAGGTCTTCAGGCGTGACTGTAGAGAGAACTACGGTCAGTAATGTGTAGTGTAAGAGGTCAAGTAACATTCTTAGAATTAATGTATCAAGTAAACTTTAACAATAGATTAGAAATCTGTATGAATAAGCCTCTTGCAGTGCTGCCTGCTGCAGCCTGGTGTTATCCAGTGCGGGCAGCAACAAGCAGTAACGCCACGCCTGCTGTCTCCAATAAATAACACCAGTATAGAACACGTTTCGATCCTGGGACCTTGATCAAGGTCCCAGGACCAAAACGTTTTCTATAAAATATATCCTAGTGTTCGCTCACGTGTCTTTTTAATCCAATTTTTGGGTATCAGTTACCAAGGATTAACACTGGGAGGCCTACAGGCCTACTCATATTCTTTTCTGATCTGTTTATAAGGATGACTCTGTATATTACGTCTAAAAGATTATTCTGTTCTTAGCCTGTGTTCACCTGAACGTATGGCAAATGAACACTAAAACTCACAGGCCAGTGCGTTAACACACTGGCCTGTGTTTTAGGGCTCGCCATGGGTTCGAGTCCCATCCAGCCCCTGATTTGACTGAAGGAGTCACTAGTTTCCTCGATTAATGTCTTGAAGTGTGCATTAGGCGATCTTCAAGGCTGAGGGACTGATCTCCTCTCACTACCTCTCTACTTCTACCGTTTCCAGTATTGTTATTACCTCAGTGTTCTACTGACGATTTCTGATGCATGGGCGAAAAGTCCCTTCAATAACGATACCTACGTTTTGCACATATATCTTATTCATCAGTAGTCCCCCATTCTCATGTTCATACGAAGAAGCCTCTGGTGAGGCGAAACGTCTTCACGCTCAAGATAACCACATATTGCACATGTGTTGTTCATGAAACTGTTGGTACTGTGTACCAATAACATAATGGTACAGAGTATGATGGCAGGATGTGTTGAACAAGTCATTGATATACTCACAATCTTCACTTTCAATGATGTTCATGTCTGTTTCTCCAGGCGGAGTTGTAGTGGCATCCTGATCGTGGCTGCTGCTGCTGGTAGTGCTGGTGCTGCTACTGCTGGTGGTGGTGGTGCTGCTGCTGCTGGTGGTGGTTGCTTGCGTGGGTTCGTGAGCAGTTGTGGTTGAGGGAGTGGTAGTTGTTGTTTGGGTGGGTGAATGGGTAGTAGCGGACCTCTGAATGGGTGCTGGAATAGTAGCAGTAGTTGTGTGCATCTGGTTGGACGAGTGGGTAGTAATATTAGTAGTAGTTAATCCCTGGGCTGGTATAGGGGTGCTGGTGGGTGTCTGGATGAGTGAATGAGCATCAGATGATCTAAGTGTGGGTGCAGGAGTAGTACTGGGTATCTGGGTGCTGTTTGAGTGGATAGTAGTGGATCCTAGGGTAGTTACGGGCGTAGCACTGTATATTTGTACGGTTGCCTTGGTTATATTGGAAAATTTGTCCGGAAGAAGCAGCATTGAGATATTATCACCGTTGTTCTTGTCGCCAACGTTCTCTTCTGCATGTTGCTTCGCGTTATAGTGTTGCCCGTCAACGTATTCACCATCAACATGTCTTTCATCCGGTTGCTTTGCGTCCTCACCAGTAAACACTTGACGTGTGGGAACAATGTTAATGACTGGATATACATTGTCGTTCCCTGTTAAGGCTGAGTTGTTACGATGCAGGGCCTCAGCAACAGCGTCATCAGCAGCACTAGCACCAACACCAACAGCAGCACCAGCAGCAGCACCAGGTTCAAAGAATGCTGCTTCCCTCTTGGTATTAGCATTACGCCCCACTAACATCTCAAGTACCGCAGCCTCGTCTGAAGTTCCACCAAACAACACACGTTGTCCTCTCTCTCTGAGAAACTGTTTATGAAATATATTAGTAAGTAACACGTACAAAAAGACCTCTATGATACCACAACAATTATGCTAAACCAAAAAAGGGGTAAATTTAACGTATAACCCCTTCGACAAATCACTCTATCACTGAATAAAGTCATCTCACTGATGGTAATTACCAGCTAAATTTAAAATGCTCTAAGATAGGATGAGCAGAATTGTGCTAATTAATTTTAGTGGTCTTCACTCTTTTCTATGTTAATTGCAGACAGACCAAGTTACTTCACAAGAATATATCGATTGATCCATTAGTTTTTTTTTTTCCGAAAAATATCTATTTTTTTTAATGCAGGTCGATTTGTTTATCCCAGTCTGCCTTAAATGTACGTATTATTATATTGATGATTTACAAGACAGATATATATACAAAACAGACATGTTTACAAAACAGACATGTTAACAAAACAGACATGTTAACAAAACAGATATGTTAACAAAACAGACATGTTAACAAAACAGACATGTTAACAAAACAGACATGCAATAATAATATAACAGCCAGTCACATAATAGTGTCAAAGTTCATTAGTTTTCGTGTCAAAACTCTTTGAAAATCTCTGAAAGTCTTTCAAAAAGAAGAAATAAATTCAGCTAGTGAACAATGGAGATAACTTGACCTTCGTACACAAGGGAAATAAAAGTCAAAATACCGTGACTGGACCAATACACAAATAACCCGCACAAGAAACTGTTTTTCGCAAAATAATCTAAGATGTCTAGGCGTCATTCTCCTATGTGCGGGTTACCTGTGTGAGACATGAGGTGGTAATAAAGGTCACTTACCTGTTGAAGACCCGGGAGACCGCGAGACCGACGGCGGAATGGTCTCACCAGGGCTGGGACCAGACCAGAGCGACGGGGGGAGGTGATGATGATGGAAAAACGGCTAGAGTTGCGGATGTCTGCGTCGATAATGACATCGAAGAGAGGAGCACCGTTCATCCTGAACATCTCCAGCAACGCTCGCGTCAGATTCCAGCTCTCCGGCTGGAACGGTCGACCCACCTGGAACTCCGCCTTAGACTTCAGCATGTCGAACACTGCAAACACATCGCTAAAGTAAAAACGCGAGTAACCACTTCTCTACACTTATCTTCCACTTAAGTTGTTGTGCAAAGTGTCATTCTTAAATATTATAAAGCAAATAAAAGTGACAAATACTTTAATACAACAACTTAATGGAACAAGTTCTTATAATAATTCCAGAAAGAATTGCCTTATGTGGTATGTTGTAAGGGGACGGACAAGGACCAACATTCTACGAACATCGGTACAATCCAACACCCAATGTTGATACAAACCGACTCACAGTAAGGAGACGGACATAAATCAACTCAAAATAAAGGACACGGACACAGACCTGGCTTCAGGTCCGCCTCTTGCTCGTCAGCCACATCAAGGCAGGACTGGTAGAAGAAAAACAGGTCCCGGTACGGCTTGGTCTGCAACAACTCCTCCGGTACTCCCTCCCCGGTCTTGAGGAGCTCTGTGGAGGTATGAGTGTCTGTCAGCATGTGTTGAAGAATTATACATATGTTCAACATCTTTATTTGCAGACGTTTTGCCATCTGCTGGCTTAATCAATACAAACCTTGAATGTAGATGAATGGTTCAGAGAACCGACAAGTTGATAAATTAGACACATGTGCAACACTTGGGTTTACCTGGAGTTTACCTGGAGAGAGTTCCGGGGGTCAACGCCCCCGCGGCCGGTTGTGACCAGGCCTCCTTATCTATTAACGAGGAAACGTTTCGCACACAGTACATGTAACGTGAGTACATGTACTGAGTACAATGTGCTAAACCATGAGCTGCACATGTATGATGTCACATGGTACTGAGCACATGTCTGAGCACATGTACTAGCACAATGAAATGGCTCATGTACTGAGCACATTAACTGATGCACAAGTACTGAGCTTCATGTACTGAGCACATACTGAGCACTGTACAGAGCACATGACTGGCACATGTACGGCACAGGGTCTGCACAATCTGGGGCTCATGTCTGAGCAAGTACTGGGAGTACATGTCTGTGCACATGCTAAGCAATGTATAATAGCACATGTATAGCAATTTAGCACTGTCTTAAGCACATGACCTGAGAATGTACTAAGCACATGTTAAGCACATTGTACTAGACACATGTACTAAGCACATGTCCCTGCATGTACTGAGACATGGTGGGTAAGCACATGTCTAAGCTCTGTACTGAGCCCTTTACTAAGCACATGTATAAGCACATTGTACTGAGCACTGTACTGAGCACATGTACTGAGCACATGTACTGAGCACATGTACTGAGCACATGTACTGAACACATGTACTGGCACATGTACTGAGCACATGTACTGAGCACATGTTACTGAGCACAGGGTACTAGCACATGTACTGAGCACATGTACTGAGCACATGTTACTGAGCACATGTACTGAGCACATGTACTGAGCACATGTACTGAGCACTGTACTGAGCACATGTACAAGCACATGTACTGAGCACATGTACTGGCACATGTACTGAGCACATGTACTAAGCACATGTACTGAGCACATTTTACTGAGCACATGTACTGAGCACATGTACTAAGCACATGTACTGAGCACATGTACTGAGCACATGTACTGAGCACATGTACTGGCAATGTACTAAGCACATGTACTAAGCACATGTACTGAGCACATGTACTAAGCACATGTACTAAGCACATGTACTGAGCACATGTACTAAGCACATGTACTAGCACATGTACTGAGCACATGTACTAAGCACATGTACTAAGCACATGTACTGAGCACATGTACTGAGCACATGTACTAAGCACATGTACTGAGCACATGTACTGAGCACATGTACTAAGCACATGTACTGAGCACATGTACTGAGCACATGTACTGAGCACATGTACTGAGCACATGTACTGAGCACATGTACTAAGCACATGTACTGAGCACATGTACTGAGCACATGTACTAAAGGCACATGTACTGAGCACATGTACTGCGCACATGTACTAAGCACATGTTACTGAGCACATGTACTGCGCACATGTACTAGCACATGTACTGAGCACATGTCCCTGCGACACATTTTACTAAGCACATGTACTGAGCACATGTACTAAGCACATGTACTAAGCACATGTACTGAGCACATGTACTGAGCACATGTACTGAGCACATGTACTAAGCACATTTTACTGAGCACATGTACTGAGCACATGTACTGAGCACATGTACTGAGCACATGTACTAGCACATGTACTAAGCACATGTACTGAGCACATGTACTGAGCACATGTACTGAGCACATGTACCTAAGCACATGTACTGAGCACATGTACTGAGCACATGTACTGAGCACATGTACTAAGCACATGTACTAAGCACATGTACTAAGCACATGTATGAGCACATGTACTGAGCACATGTACTAAGCACATGAAACTGAGCACATGTACTGCCCCACATGTACTAAGCACATGTACTGAGCACATGTACTGCGCACATGTACTTAAGGGCACATGTACTGAGCACATGTACCTGCTGCACATGTACTAAGCACATGTACTGAGCACATGTACTGAGCACATGTACTACAATTAGCACATGTACTGAGCCATGTACTGAGCACATGTACTAAGCACATGTACTGAGCACATGTACTGCGCACATTTTACTAAGCACATGTACGGGAAAAGTCACATGTACTGCGCAACATGTACTAAGCCACATGTACTGAGCACATGTACTGCGCACATGTACTAAGCACATGTACTAGCACATGTACTGCAGCACATGTACTAAGCACATGTACTGAGCACATGTACTGCGCACATGTACTAAGCACATGTACTGAGCACATGTACTGAGCACATGTACTAAGCACATGTACTGAGCACATGTACTAACCCAACATGTACTAAGCACATGTACTGAGCACATGTACTGAGCACATGTTACTAAAGCACACATGTACTGAGCACATGTACTGAAGCACATGTACTAAAATAGCCACATGTACTAAGCACATGTACTGAGCACATGTACTGAGCACATGTACTAAGCACATGTACTGAGCACATGTACTGCGCAATGTACTGAGCACATGTACTGAGACATGTACTGCGCACATGTACTGAGCACATGTACTAAGCACATGTACTAAGCACATGTACTGAGCACATGTACTGAGCACATGTACTGAGCACATGTACTGAGCACATGTACTGAGCACATGTACTAAGCACATGTACTAAGCACATGTACTGAGCACATGTACTGAGCACATGTACTGAGCACATGTACTGAGCACTGTTACTGAGCACATGTACTAAGCACATGTACTAATGCACAATGTCCCTGAGCACATGTACTAAAAAGCACATGTACTGAGCACATGTACTGAGCACATGTATATTACTGAGCACATGTACTAAGCACATGTACTAAGCACATGTACTGAGCACATGTACTGAGCACATGAAACTGAGCACATGTACTGAGCACATGTACTGAGCCACATGTACTGAGCACATGTACTGAGCACATGTACTGAGCACATGTACTGAGCACATGTACTAGCCCCATGTACTGAGCACTAGGGGTACTGAGCACATGTACTAGCACATTTTACTGAGCACATGTACTGAGCACATGTACTGACTACTGAGCACATGTACTGAGCACATGTACTGAGCACATGTACTAAGCACATGTACTAAAAGGCAAAATGTACTGAGCACATGTACTGAGCACATGTACTGAGCACATGTACTGAGCACATGTACTGAGCACATGTACTAGCACATGTACTGAGCACATGTACTAGCACATGTACTGAGCACATGTACTGAGCACATGTACTGAGCACATGTACTGAGCACATGTACTGAGCACATGTACTGAGCACATGTACTGAGCACATGTACTGAGCACATGTACTGAGCACATGTACTGAGCACATGTACTGAGCACATGTACTGAGCACATGTACTGAGCACATGTACTGAGCACATGTACTGAGCACATGTACTAGAGCACATGTACTGAGCACATGTACTGAGCACATGTACTGAGCACATGTACTGAGCACATGTACTGAGCACATGTACTGAGCACATGTACTGAGCACATGTACTGAGCACATGTACTGAGCACATGCATTCACAGCTGAAGACACGCTGAGGACATATAGTGAACACATGTACTCAAAGGTGAATACAGATATTGAAGACAGGAATTGAAGATATGTAATGAATACAGGTACTCATTGCTGAGTACAGGACAAGTACTGTGGATAAGTAATGAGTGCAAGTACTTACGGCTTAGTTTGGTGTCGATGTATTCAGGCAGGATGTTGTGGTTGATCCCGTAGAAGAGTGTGTTGGCATCTGCCTTGTGTATGTTCGCCTGAATCCAACCACCACACGCATACCTGCAACGTGCAACCTTGACTCACGAAATCTTAATAACACGATTACAAACAAACCAGGGTACTGGTTGGGTTAGAATCCATGGCCAGTGAGTCGTAAAACTCCAGGCCAGTGCGTTAACCACTGGGCCAGATGGCTACAATAAGACTCATCCAATTAGGTATAGTTATACACCATAAGGAGGTTAGCACGTGCCACCACTGTGACCACAAATGCAAGTTTTTACTCACTTGCCATGAGTTCTAATCCCACCCATACCGCAAGGTGGTAAGCTTGAAGTCTGATGTCAGAAACCTGCCCGACTGTGAGAACAATGTAGATCTCTGGAGTCTGATGTCAGAAACCTGCCCGACAGTGAGAACAATGTAGATCTCTGGAGTCTGATGTCAGAAACCTGCCCGACTGTGAGAATAATGCAGCTCTCAGGAGTCTGATGTCAGAAACCTGCCCGACTGTGAGAATAATGCAGCTCTCAGGAGTCTGATGTCAGAAACCTGCCCGACTGTGAGAATAATGCAGCTCTCAGGAGTCTGATGTCAGAAACCTGCCCGACTGGAGTCTGCCTCCGTCGAGCTGCCTGAGAAATCTTTATGGCTTAGTTTTTACAATCAGTGATGAAATCTGCTGGGTAACATAGCTTAGTAAAGGTGCTAGGCATATAACTGCATTCTTCCTGGAGGAAGCCATGGATCAAGACCGACTCCCAAACCCAAACCACTTAAAAAATACCACCCCCCTTTTCCCCACCCCCTTTAAAAAACCCCCAAAATTTCCCCCCAATAAAAAAAACCCCCCTTTAAAAAATTTTACACCCCCCCACCCAAAAAAAAACCCCCTTTTTAAAACCTTTCCCCCCATTCCAGTTTCCCCCAACCAAACCACTACCCCCCAAAACTAAAAAATTTTCCACTCCCCAAAAAGGGAACCCCCCAAAAAATTTCCCCAAAATTTTTTCCCCCCCCAAAAAAAAAAAACCCCCCCCCAAAAAAAAACCCCCTTTAAACCCCTTTCCCCCCAAGGGGCCAAAAACAAAACCCACAAAAAAACAAAAAAAATTTCCCCCAACCTTTTTTTAAAAAACAAAAAAAACCCCCCCCAAAAATTTAAAAAATTTTTCCCGGGGGAAAAACCTTTTTAAAACCCCCAAAAAAAACCCCCCCCAAAAACCAAACCCCCAAAAAAAAAACCCCAAAAAAAAAAAATCCCCAAAACCCCCCGGGGAAAAACCCAAAACCCACCCCAAAAACCCAAAAAAACCCCCCCAAAATCCCCCCCAAAACACCCCCCACTTTCCCCAAAAAACCCCTTTTTAAAACCCAAAAACCCCCCACACCAAAAAACCCACCCCTAAAAACCCCCTCCAACCAATTTTCCCCCCTCCCACCCCTAAAACCCAAAAATAAACCCCCACCCAAAATCTAAAAACCCACCCCCCAAAACCCCCACACCCTAAACCCCATTTCCCAAAACCCCCAAACACCCCCCAATCAAACCCAAAAAACCCCCCCCCACCCCCCCCCCCCTTTTTTAAAAAATCCCCCCCCCCAAACCCCCAGCCCCCCCCCCCCAAAAAAATTTAAAATTCCCCCCTTTTTCCCCCAAAAAACCCCCTTTTCCCAAAACCACCCAACCCCCCCCCCAAACCCCAAACTCACCCCCCCCCACCCCTTTTCCCCCCCAAAAACCCCCCAAAAAACCCCCCCCCAAAAAATACAAAAAAAAAAAAAATTTTTTCCCCCCAAAATTTCCCACAAAAAAAACCCCCCCTAAAACCCAAAAAAAATTTTAAACCCCAATACCCAAAATTTTTCCCCCCACTAAACCCAAATTTTAAAAGCCCAACCCCAAATTTTCCAAACCCTACAAAATTTTTAAAAACCAAACCCCCCACAAACCAAACCCCCCCCAAAAAACCCCCCCCCCTTTTACAGGCCCCCAAAACCCCCCTTTTAAAACCCCAACCCCCCCCCAAAAAAAAACCCCCCCCAAAAAAAAAAACCCCCCCCCCCAAACCCCCCCTTTTTCCCCCCTTTCCCCCCTTTTCCCCCCCCTTTAAAAATTTTCCCCATAAACCAAAACAAAAAAATTTAACCCCCCCAAAAAATTTCACCCCCCCAAAAAACCCCCCCCCCCCCCCCCCCAAAAAACCCCCCCCCCCCCCAAAAAAAAACCCCCCCAAAAACCCTTTTTTTTCCCCCCCCCCCAAAAAAACCCCCACCCACCCCCCCACCCCCCAAAAAAACCACACCAAAAACCCCCCCCCAAAAAAACCCACCAAAAAAAAAACCCCACCCCCCAAAAAAACCCCCACACCCCCAAAACCACCCCCCCCCAAAAAATTTCCCACCAAAAAAAACCCCCACCCCCCCCCCCCCAAACCCCCCACCCCCCCACCCCCCACCCCCCCCCCCCCCCTCCCACCCAAAAAAAAACCCCCCCAAAACCCCACCCCCCACCCCCCCCCCCAAAACCCCCCCCCCAAACCCCCCAAAAAACCCCCCCACTTTTAAAAACCCCCCCCCCCAAAAAACCCCCAAACCCGGGGGGCCCCCCCCCACCCTTCTCCCCCCCACCCCAAAAACACCCCCCAAAAAAACCCCCAAAAAAACCAAAAAAAAAACCCCCAAAACACAAAACCCAAAAAACCCCCCCACAATCCAAAAAAAACCCCCTTTTTTAAAAAAACCCCCAACTTTCCCCCCAAAATCCCAACCCCCCAAAACCCCCACAACTAAAAAAACCCCCCCCCCAAAAACTCCCCCCAAAAAAAACTCACCCCCCTCCCACCCCCCCAAAAAAACCCCCCACCACCCCCAAAAAAAAACCCCCAAAAAACCCCCCCCCCCAAAAAACCCCCCCACCACCCCAAAAACCCCAAAAAACCCCCCACCAAAAAACCCCCCCAAAATAAAACCATCCCCCCCCCAAAAAACCCCACCCACCAAAAACACCAACCCCCCAACCCCCCCTCCCCCCCCCCTTTTAACCCCCCAAAAAAAACCCCCCCCAAAAAAAAAAACCCCCCAAAAACAAAAAAAAAACCCCCAAACCCACCAAAAAAACCCCAAAAATTTAAAAAAAAAAAAACCCCCCCCCCCAAAACCCCCAAAACACCCCCCCCCCCCCCCCCCCCCCCCCCCACCCCCCCCTCCCCCTTCCCCCCACCCCCCCCCCAAATTTCCCCCCCCATTTCCCCCCCCCCCCCCCCCCCTTTCCCCCCCCCCTACCCCCCCCCCCCCCCCCACCCCCCCCCCCCCTAAAACCCCCCCCCCCCCCAATTTCCCCCCCCCCCTCCCCCCCCCCAAAACCCCACCCTCCCCCCCAAAAAACCCCACCCCCCCCCCCCAAAAAAACCCCCAAACCCCCCCAACCCCCACCCCCCCCACCCCCCCCCCCCCCCCCCCAAACCCCCCCCCCCTCCCCACCCCCCCCCCCCCCAAAAAACCCCCCCCTCCCCCCCCCCAAAAAAACCCCCCCCCCAAAAAACCCCCAAAAACCCCCCCAAAAACCCCCCCCCTTTCCCCCCCCCCCAAAACCCCCCCCCCCAAAAAAACCCCCCCCCCCCCCCTCCCCCCCACCCCCCCCCCCCCCCAAAAACCCCCCAAAAAACCCCCCCCCCTCCCCCCACCCCCCCCCCCCCCCCCCCCAAAAAAAAAACCCCCCCCCCACCCCCCCCCCCCCCCCAAAAACCCCTCCCCCCCCCAAAAAAACCCCCCCACCCCCCCCACAAAAAACCCCCCCCAAAAAACCCCACCCCCCCCCCCCCCCCCCACCCCCTCCCCCAAACTCCCCCCCTTTTCCCCCCCCCCCCCCAAAACCCCCCCCCAACCCCCCCCCAAAATCCCCCCCCCCCCCCAAACCCCCCCACCCCCCCCCCCACCCCCCCCCCCCCCTCCCCCCCCCCCCCCAACCCCCCAAACTCTCCCCCACCCCCCCCTCACCCCCCAACCCCCCCCCCAAAAAATCCCCCCCCCCACCCCCCCCCCCCCCCCCCCCCTAAAACCCCCCCCCCCCCAAACCCCCCCCCCCCCAACCCCAACCCCCAAAAACCCCCCCCCCTCAACCCCCAAAAAAACCCCCCCCCCCCCCCCCCCCCCCCCCCCAACCCCCACCCCCCCCCCATTTAAACCCCCCCCCTAAAAACCCCCCCCCCCCAACCCCCACCCCCCCCCCCCCTTTTTAAACCCCATCCCACCCCCCCCCCCCCAAAACCCCCCAAAAAACCCCCCCCTCACCCCCCCCCCCCTAAAACCCCCCCCCCCCCCCAAAAAACCCCCCCCAAAAACCCCCCCAAAAAACCCCCCCCCACCCCCCCCCCCCCAAAACCCCCCCCCCCCCAAAATTTCCACCCCCCCCCCCCAACAAAAAACCCCCCCCCCCCCTTTTAAAAACACCCCCCCCCCCCAAAAAACCCCCCCCCCAAAACCCCCCCCCAAAACCCCACCCCCCAATAAAAACCCCCCCCACAAACCCCCCAAATTTAAACCCCCCCCCCCCCCCCCCAAAATACCCCATCCCCAAAAAACCCCCCCCCACCCCCCCCCCCACCCCCCCCAAACCCCCCCCCCACCCCCCCCCAAAAACCTTTTCTCCCCCCCAACCCCCCCCCCCCCCCCCCCCCCCCCCCACACCCCCCCCCCACCCCCCCCCAACCCCCCCCCCCCCCCCCCCCCCCCCCCCCCCCCCCCCCCCCCCCCCCCCAACCCACCCCCCCCCCCCAAACCCCACCTACCCCCCCCCAAACCCCCCAACCCCCCAAACCCAACCCACCCCCCCCAAACCCCCCCCCCCAAACCCCCCCAAAACCCCCAAAACCCACCCCCCCATCCCCCACCACCCCCCCCCCAAACCCACAACAACCCCACAACAAAACCCCCAAAACACACAACCCCCACAAAAACCCACCCAAAACCCCAACCCCCCCAAAACCAAAAACACCCCCCACACACCCCCAAAACCCCCAAAAAACCCCCCCCAACCCCCCCACCCCCCACAAACCCCC